ATGTCTACAGGAGTGGAGCACATACGTAAGATGTATAGTACCATATTTCTTATATAAGAAGTTATACAGTGGTTGAAAACTTTGTTGTTTGGCAAATTTGAACTGTATTTTTTACTTTTTCTTAATTTAATATTTATTTATTTATTTATTTATTGTTATTGAAGTAACATTGTTTTATATCCTGGCTAGTGTTTTGACAGTATAGGATTTCCCACCTCAGGGGCAGATATCTTAGCATTCCTTACTACTGAAGTACCCATAGGTCTCTCCCAGCTGTCTCCCCAACTCTCCCATTTCTCATCCCTCCTCTTCCTCCTCTGAAAGCTGCATATCTACAGCTTTAAAGGGTTGGTTTTGAAATTTGTCTGACTTTTCATTTGATTTTTCTGTATTCCACATACAATTGGTATTTATCTTTTTCCTGATTTTTTTTACTTTGCATAATCCCATCCAGCTCCATCCAAATTGCTGTAAATGGCATGAGTTTACCTTTCTTGATTGGGAAGTAGTATTTCATTATGCATCTATATCACAACTTCTTGAACCACTCATCTGTTTTGGGGTACTTAGTTTGTTTCCATATCTTGGCAATTATAAACAGTTTTATTATAAACATAGGAGTATAAGTTTCCTTTTTGTATTTGTATTTTTTTGGGTAGATAACTAGGAGTGGAATTGCTGGGTCATATGACAGATGCATTTTTTAGTCTTTTGAGAAACCTCCACAGGGTTTTTAAAGGTAGAAGTTTCAATTTGGTAAAGTTAACAGAAGGAGGGCCTCCCTGGTAGTACAAAGAGTTAAGCACAACATTATGAAGCTGTCCACAGCCTCTGCAGCACGAGTTTGATCCCTGGCCAGGGAGCTAATCACATGGTGCCACAGACCTCTTCTGACTTGCCTGCTATTCCCCTCAGCAGTGTATTTCAGTCAGGCAGCCTGTTCTGTGCCTCACTCTGTCTCTGGGGAATCCTCTCACCTGCCCCCCACCTCTGGCCTGTACCCCAGTTCTTGTACACATAAATAAATAAATAAATAAATCTTTAAAAAAATTAACAGTAGGAGAATTTTGGAAAAGGGGAACAATGGGAGCAAAGGCAGAGGAACGGGTGAAAGTACAGTGTTCCCTACTGGCTAATTCCAAGTGGACCCTGAGATTGTGGTGTTTTGTTTGTTATCCTGCTTTTTTATTTAATTTTCTCACTGAGTCTATGAGGTGGACAGTTGAGGATACCAGTGGTTAAAAATTTTAAGTAAATTTATAAGGATAACATAGCTGTAACATAGTATAGACAAAATTCAAATCTAATTCTGTACTATCCTGAACAACTGCTTTTCCACAATGGGCTGATATACCATATGTGGGATGAATTGTGAAACTGGACAATGAGAGTGCCAGGATCTAGATTATGAGCAGGTCTTCAAATTCAGGCAAAGCAAGCATTTGAAATTCTCTATTAAGTAACTATAACATTCTTTCAGGTATCTATCTGGTAGAATTAAAGAGGCTGTATCAAAATCAAGGTTGGCAAAAATATATGGCAAGCTTGCTACTACTACCTTTTCCTGCACCCATCATTGGCAGTGCTAGTAGACTATATGCTATTTTTTTTTAAGATTTATTTTTTTATATAAGAACTGGGGTACAGGCCAGATGCACGGGAGGGTGAGAGGATTCACCAGAGACAGAGCGGGAACAGAACAGGCAGACTGAAGAAATACATTGCTGAGGGGAGTAGCGGGCGAGACAGGAGTGGTCTGTTGCTCCATGTGGGACCCTCGCCAGCCAGCCGGGATTGAACCAGGCTGCGGACAAATTCACAGCACGGCGCTCCACCACCTGCGCCACTAGGGGAGGACCCTATATGTATATTTTTTACTGGACTTGGGTATAGTCTCAAAACACTTATTGATGAATATATTCATTAGAAGTTTTTGGTTGATCTATAACCATTCCTTCTTCCTGGTATAACTCCAATTTCCTTGTAGAGAATTACTTTGCTACTATTTTGAACAAGCTGGGTGAGACTACAAGACTAAGTGAATTACCTTCTATTATAGAGAATGAAGGGTTTTCTGGAGAATGGGACACGATATTTCTGCCAGATCTCATTGCTTCAATAGGACCAAGAAGTCAGCATATGACCGAAGCTTAAGTGGACAAAAGTATTCTTGACAGATAGTTAGAATCTGGCCAGAATTATTCAGGAAAACAAAACAAAACAAAACAAAAGTATACATTCCATCCAGGTGATAAACCCTCATGAGGCAGTAGAACTACATGCTGCTCTCCTGCTTTCTCCTTTATTTCTAAGCATCTTCTCTAGCATTCTAGTCAGAATAGTGAGGTTCCCAATAACATTATTCCAATAAGCTTTTTTGTACAAGTTAGCCGGTGTCAATTTCTGTGACTTGCTACCAAAAAAATCATAATCTACACATTTCTATTCAGTCAGAATTGGCACATAATTTAAAAACCAACAGGCCCATGATGTAGTACCAACGGCACATGATTTATATCTAATTGGATTTAAATACAGAAAATATGCTGTGATATTTATATATTGTGTCAACTTGGCTAAGCCAGAACTATATTTCCCAGAATTCTTTTATTTTATTTTATTTTTTATTTTTTATTTTTTTTTAAGATTTTATTTATTATTTATTTTAAAGATTTTATTTATTTTTACAAGCACTGGGTACAGTCAGAAGTGCGGGAGAGTGAGAGAATTCACCAGAGCCAGAGCGGGGAGCAGAACAGGCAGACTGACGAAGTACACTGCTGAGGGGAGCAGCGGGCAGCAGGAGAGGTCTGCGCGCCATGCAGGACCCTCCTCCTGTGGCCGGGGAGCAGCCAGGGATCGAACCGGCACCGCAGAGGCTTCCGGCAGCTTCAGAACCCAGTGCTCAACCGCTGCGCCACCAGGAAGGCCCTATTTCCCAGAATTCTGTTCTCCATATGGTTCCAAGTTAAATCTAACCAAAGGAAAGATTATTGTGATATTTGGAAGGTAGGCAAGAACTAAGAGCCATTACAAGCTGAAGATCTCTATGGTCAGTAATGGTAAAAGAAAGTTGCAGATGTTTCTTGATGCTCTTATTTGTATCTAGATGTGCATAAATTCCATCCCAAACAAAAAAGACTCCAGACTTACACATATATGCAGAGTCAAGAATATTTCACCCTGGGGCCTCCCTGGTGGTGCAGAGGGTTAAGGTGCAGTACTGTGGGGTGATCTGCAACCACTGCAGCATGAGTAAGATCCCCAGCCAGGGAGGTCACCCACATGGTACAGCAGACCTCTCCTGTCTCACCCATTGCTCCCCTCAGCAGTGTATTTCAGTAATCTGTCTGTTATGTTCTCCATCCTGGCTCTGGTGAATCCTTTCATCCCCTGCACCTCTGGCCTATACCCCAGTTCTTGTATGCATAAATAAATATTTTTTTAAAAAAGAGTCTTTCACCCTCTATCGTAATTCCTGTGGTCCTATTCTGGCAAATGTAATACCTGGTCGACTGAATTCTTTGGAAAACTCCAATTTGTCCACTCACTCCAGTGCTTTAGAAATCTACTTTTCTCCAGTCCTCCAGCTTCTCTTTATGATCTATTCTTACAAATTCTCCAACAATTACATAAGGTTTTATTCCTATGATAAATTTTTATTTCCACAAAATAGGTTCAATATAGATTCTGCTTCCATGATTGAACCCTGATTGCTATAGTTATTGGAGTTATAGTTGGCTCCAGGAGAACAGAATATTAAAGATGGTACTCTAATTTGTTCTTTGAACTAGTTAGATTTAAAGTCATTATTGCTCCTGCTGCCAGTAGCAAAAGAGGCACTGATAGTTCTTAGCAGGTAGTGGCAAAATAGTTTCTTAAATTATCACCTGTGGTTTCAACTGTACTCTAATGTCTATAGTAGGTAAGACTTTGGGTAACCTAGGAGTTGCTGCATAGAACATTTCAATGAAAACAAATATAATTATCTTGGTTATGTTCATTATTGGTTGATAAGTGCATTGGAAGCTATGGAGAAATAAAATAAGCTGGTAGTTATAAATGTCCAGATTAATGTCTAGGTAACAGGTTAAAAAGCTTCTATGACCATATTTCCTATAAAATCTCTTAAAACTGAGACCAAAATCTAGGCTGGAGAGTAGTTGAATTAGATTTCAATATAACCTTTTGGGGTTTGTTGTACTACCCTTAAGGCATTGATTGGGAAGGAGTAAGATTATGAAAGTTGGGCTGGAGATGTATGGGCTAATTCTGATGATGCAAAGTATCTTGAATCTTTTCATATTATGAACCTCATTAGTCAACAGAAGCATCTTTCCCCTCTAGTCTGAGCAATTCAGTGACCTCTTTCCTGAAGAACTTACTTGTCCTGGTCTGTGGAACTTGATTTACAAGGTATTGCTGATTCTTCTCTAGACCTAATCCATCACATCTCCTTACCTTCCCTATGTATAACAATGTTCAGTTTCTGACATGCTTCTGAGGATCGATAAAAATTGTGGCCCAAAGAGACTAACAGTATACACCTAAATAATTACGTTCATATAATTTATATTCATATTAATGGAAACTTGAAGAGTATGTATGGGAGCAGATTGAAAGGATGTTGTATTAGGGTCAGGTTCAATGTATTCAAATTGTTTCACTAAGCAAACACTTAGTATCAGTGTGAGTTCAGTGATTGTCAAATGGTTCTAATTTTTGGCCAGGTAAATCGACTAAATGAAATTGTGCTGTTAAACATCCCTTGATATAGGAAGGGTTAAGGGAAAACCTTTTAGAGCAAGCTTTATCTTCAAGAATAATAAGAAAAGGCAATACCTCTTTCCTGGAAAGATTTCAAGATTAGTGCAATTCCAAAAACTTAAGAATGTAGGAATAATTTATAACACATTCCTAATCACCCCTCCTTATTTGGCCTGTACAGAAAATGACAGATGTTATAGAATAACTTAACCATGTGGTAAATCTAATTGCAGCGGCTGTTTCAGATGTGGTCTCTTCACCCGAGAAGATTGAGGCAGCCTCTATCATACAGGTACTGATTTGGTGAGTGTTTTTTCTTCCTACCTACAGGTAGGAGGAGAGCACCAAAACCAGTTAGATTGCATTTGGCATGACCTATCTACTTCCATCCTACTTCAGGGCTATAGTAACTCTCAAGCTCTCTGTTATAACTTAGTCTGCAGGAACCTTGCGTGTTTCTGCATTTCATAGGCAGTCCAACTCATTTACTATATTGATAATACTCTGATGTGTGTACCTGTTGAACAGAAATTAGTAACTACTGTGAACACCTTGGAGGACATATATGTACAACAGGAACAGTAAAAAACAAAATGCATGTATTTCTATAAATTTTTCTAAGGTTACAATGGTCTGGAATATGTCAAGATACATCCTTCTGAGCTGAAGGACAAACCACTGTATCTGGTTCCATGAAAAAAGAAACTCAATATCTCTGTCTCAAGGATCATTGTAGGTTATATACATACACATATCTCATTTATTGAGTAACCTGAAAAGCTCCAATTTTGAGTGGAGTCCAGATGTAGGTTCAGGGTTGAATTATATGGCTCAATAGATCTAATAACGTTGAAATGTCTGTGGCAAAATATTTTATGGAATTTTTAATAGAAGCCAATAGGTAATCACAGTGTAAATATTTAGAATTTTAGAATATGCCCATCTACCCTCTTTATATAACAATTATTATTTTGATCAACTTCTTGCTGCTGGGTACCAGAAGAACCTGAACATTTGTCATGGGTCACTTAGTTAGCATGTAACCTGATTTCCTGTTATGAATCAAGTGTTTCCTGATCCATTAAGTTGTTAGTCTGGGCATGTAGCAATTCATTCCACCATTAAATGAAATGGCATATGCAAGATCAGCCTTAATGAGTCTTGAAGGCCCAAATGAATTAAATCTATAAGTGACACAGATTCTCATGGTGCATGCTCCTTCTATATTGCCTCATTTCTTTCAACCCACAGTCATGGCCTCATCAAAGATCCTGGCCAACAGCTTGAAGAAAATTTCTGGGACTGAATTACAGATGGTTCTGCATGTTCTGCTGACACTACCTGAAATGACTAATGGTTTGGTTTTGAAGGAACATGGTGGGAAAATTAGTAGTAAAGAAGTTTGCATTGGTGGTATATAGATGAATGTCTCCAAAATGGGCACATTGTGAAGATATTTGTGTCTCATGTGAATGCTCAGTGAAGCACATTCTAACAGAGGAGAATCTTAATAACCAGGTGGTTGAGCTCACTTGTTCTATGGATATCAGTTGTTCTCTCTCATCACATTTCCAATCAACTTTTTTTATTTGGAGAGTTACCCTGTTCTTGCCCAATAGATACATGAATACAATGATCATGGGTTCAGTGAACTGGATTTCTACTCATTAATTCCAATCTGGTTAGAGCATTACTGAGTACTCAACCTGGCAATAGGAGGTGCTAACATTTAGCTCCAATATGACATGTTTTTCAAGGGGATTGGTTAGTAACCTATTGGCAGATTGATTACATCAGATCACTTCCATCATGGAAAGAGCAGTGCTTTTTTTTTTTTATTATTGGAATAGATATTCTGAATGTGCATAAGCTTCCCCTGTCCAAAAAACTTCTCCAAAAGCTACCATCCATGAGCTTTCAGATGCCTTATTCACTGTCATGGTACATCACACAGCACTGCCTTTGACATGGAAACTAACTTTATAGGAAATGATATATGAGAGTGACCCATGCTCATGAAATTTACTGATGTCATGTTCCCTATTACCCCAAGGCAGCTGACCTGATTGATGAGTTCAGTATTTTTTAAATGCTCAGTTATAGCCACAGTTGGATGCCACACTTTGTAGGCTGGGATATTATCCTCCAGGCAATACCATATGCTCTGAATCAGTGATTCAGTGTAGTGCTATCACTTCCAAAACTAGGGTTCCAGGTCCATGAATGAAGAAATGTAATTGGGAATAGCTTTCTCCATTCCGATATTTAATAATCTACTATTTAAAGTATTGCTTCTGTCCTTGCAACTGCAGGGTCTTCTGGTTTAGAGCTTTCCCCTGCTGTATATCCAGTGTTTCTTCTTTAATGGCAGGCATATTTGAGTTTTCATTTGGGAGGTTACCTAAGTCTTATTTGCATCTACTTGGCTACGATGTTTGAGTGATGCAAAACCCAAGGAGAGAATGACACTATGTCTTGAATATTCCTTCTTCAGCTCCTAAGCCCTACTTTGCTCAATGACCTAGACATTAGGGTTTAAATTTTGGCAATGTCCATGATAAGGGATAGACTACATCATAATATGATCACAGATATTGATCACAACTGAAGCCAAAGGGCACTTGTTTTTTCTTTCCTCTTTCCTCTTCTTTCTTCTTTACTCAGGATTGAATACAAATTGGTTTCATTTAGTTTGACTTGTGTCTTCCCTTTCCTGGTTAAGAGAGAGGAGAAAAAAAAAATGCCTCCTTCTCTTCCTTTTCTTAATTCTCAAGACAGCTGGACTATTGCCCAGTCATATTGGCAAGTCATACCCCTAATTTATGCAGGAGATGATAAAGCCCCATCCTTGCTGATTTTTAGTGCATGGAAGCATATGGAATCAAAAAGTGCCAGACCCAGCTTTGCACTCCAGGAACGTGTGGGAGGGCTCACCAGCACTTGCAATGAAGAAAAAGGAGACATGAGCGAAAATCATAAAACAATCTAAGTTTTCTTCCATTACCCTCACTTTTGGGTATTTTAGGATGTATTTTGAAAAGAATATGTTTATGAAAAGCAGAATACATGCTTATAATACATCAAGCATCTTGCTATTTAAAGGGATTGCATTTTTTTGTTTTTATTTTTTAGGATTTTTTTTTTGCTAAGGCTTTCTTTACAATAGGTATCGAATATTATTTTCAGTTAAAAATTGTCATTTTCCCTCTATTCTCACAAGACTCTCATGAAATTAAGGTGCAATTGTATACTATTTAATTTAATGAGAGTTTTTCATTTAATTTTGAAAATTGAAAAATGGGGACAATTAAAATAAATATTTTAAAAATGGTACTTATTTCTTCAATGTTCTAGTTGGTTAAATATATAACACAGAGAAAGTCTTGGATTTCCTGGACACTTTTTAACATTATGGTCTCTTTTATTTGTTATAAATATCACACTGTGCCCAGTTCTTTCAACACTTATTAACACTCATTCTCAGAACATCAACTCTTTCCATATTTGAAGTGAATGAGAACTCTAGTTAATGGGGCAGATCTATTCTCAGGAGGTTGCACCTAGCTTTATCCTAGAAATAAATTTAAATATGTTGCCATAGTTCCAAATATTAGGCAAGTTTTTATTAAAACAAATGTTCTTATCCACTCAAGCAGACAAAGGCACTGAGCCTGAGCAAGGAAACAAAGTCCCAATAAATCAAGGAGGAGAACTTTCCAGATTAAAATGATTCTTTCAGTCCTCTTACGGACTTTTTTTTTTGTATAAGTGATTTAAATATAGATGCAAACATGGTATTTACTTGCAAAAATCACAGAGAAATTCTTTGGTGTTGAAATATTTTACCATTCATTATTGTTTGTTTATTCATTTTGTGACATATTTATCATTTCTATTTTCGTCTCTCCTCCTAATAACGCTCCTCTGAGAAAATCCCCTTCCTCATTTTCAGCCTTTTGCTTTAAGTTGGATTCTATCTCCAGCTCAAGAGTAAGGTAAATATCCCAAACCTCACCAATTAGAAGTGTTTTACTATGCGGACGTGATTAGTTAAGCATGGTCATATTATCCATTAAAAGTCATTGAAAAGCAGTTTTTGTTTTTTTTTTGTTGTTGTTGTTCTGCCTATTCTGGATTAAAAACTCTTTTTTTCCTATTGGATATGAACCTTAGAGAATTAGTGACTATTGCTGCTGCCGTCATTTTGCAATTACATGGAAAATGGAACCAACTTGAAAGTAACATACCTAGAGAAATAGAATTGAAGAAAATGACTTTTGGTGTATCGTTTGAGTCTTTAATGAAGATAGGCCTGAATGTCTATCTTTGAACTACTTAGTTACTTAATAAATCTCCCTCCCCATTCTTTTTTCACTTAAATTGTTAACATCAGAAGTAATTATAGTTGATTCTTTCATTCAAGTTAATGACACTGCTCTCAGCACAGGGGATATAGAGGGACATAAAATATTGTTTCTAACTTCAAGGCACTCACACATAATATTACAATGTTTTAGTTATTCAGGGAAGGACAAAGGAGCACAAGTTGGGAAAGGAACAGACAAAAAGTGGTATTTTAATTGATTCTTCAAGGAAATGCATGTTTAAATAAAGTTGACTTGATTCCTACCTAAGTGTTGGTTCCTCCAAAAGTAGACCCTGACACAAATATTTGAGGACAGGGGGTTTATTTGGGAGATAATTCCAATAAACTCAAGTGAGAGTTGAGAAAAATAACTCAGAAATATGATAAAAATCAGTATGGGGTGAATTAATAAGTAAAATAGTGTATGTAACTAAGACCCAGTTCTGGTGGAGTCTCTGAGAATACCCAGGCCAGGGTATTTGTCTGTGACTGTATTCCCTCCCTGGCTGAGTATTGCCCCTGTGGACTTGATCCCCTCTGCATGTGTTTTCATCTGTGTGCAGTGACACACACACTTGTAGAACTGGAGAAAGCCCTCAGAGAAAACATGAGTCATGTAATGTCAGTGTATTGGGAACCAGCTGCAGATAAATTGGGGTAAGCCTAGGAATGTGGGATAGGGCATCATCTGTGTGGAATCAAGCTTAGCTGAGGTTTCGCCATTTTGTGTATCCTCCACCTTGATATGTTAGTCCTTGTCCTGCCGCATTCCGGAGATAGTTTCAGCAGTCACAACCCTCACTCCACTTGGTGACGAAAAAGCAGACCACCCCAGCCGCCAATGAGGGCAGTCCTGTCCATAAATGGGACAGCATCTCTAACCGCCCAATCAGTTTGAAACTGTAACCGCGCGCGCCAAAATGCCTTTGTAGTAGCCAATGAACAATTGCCAGCTTCTTTCAAAGTTTGCGCCACTCGCGACCCTATAAGATATCCCAGCTTCTTCTGTTCGGGGCTCTCGACCTCTGCCGTTGCATCGGTGTGTGTCGAGGGCCCGGTCTCGAGCCCGTATTAAACTCCTTTGTGCCCTTGCATCGGTTGTCTGTGTCCTTGGGGGCTGCACTAGTCGACGTGGGCACAACAATCTGCATTTGCTACAATTCCCATTTTCTGGGGAAAGTCTTATCCCCTCTCTATTATTTCCATGAATTCCCAGAGACTATGTTCTCATGCTTTTGGTTGGTTCTGAGTTCCTTCTGCTTTGTGCCATCACCATGTGGAATGCTGCCTTTTATCTTCAATTTCCTTTGAAAACTTAAAAAAGGCATTTTATTTTGATATGTGTGTGCAGCACAACCTATCAGTAGGTCAGTGGGAGAGTTTTGATTCCCACAATAAAAAATAAAATTTAATATTCTATTTTCTTAGTCTTGAAAAATCCTAGGTCGCCGTTCTAGCTGGGTTCCTTCTTAGTAGCATCTGTGACAGGGGTTCTTGGGATTCTACTTTTCTGAGTGACTCCAGTGAAATTTATAGGACAGTGAAGTAGGGGGAAGGTAGGCAAAAACATGGATTCAGTTGGTCCTTGTAGGGTAAGGAAAAATGTCAGGCTTTTCTGCCCTCCCGCCGTCAGGATAGATGATGTATCCTTTTGGTCCTGAATGCATGCCTGATGGCGGGCACCTGGAATAGGGTGTGGGCATAGGTAGATGGGATTCACCTGGGCTAAGACTGTGCTTTTAAGGGCAGCGTCATGGGGACGCCAGCAGAAGCCGAAAGAGAAGCCGAGAAAGAAATAGCAGAAGCCGAGAGAGAAGCAGAGCCATGAGAAGAGCAGAGAGAATGTGAGAGAAGGTCGGAGAGCCCAGAGTGAAGACTTGCTGGGGGCTGGGAGCCCCCCAGCACCCCTGCCTGCCATGTACCTGGTAATCTAAATAAAAAACCTGCAAAAGCCATTGAGGACTGACTCCTCCTTCACCCGTTCTGCATGGGACCCTAGAATACCTGCACTGTGTCCTGTCCTGCTGTATGGTCAGGAATGGGCACAGTGCAGGTTTCCTGATCCAGCAGACCGGGTAAAGGAGGAGTCAGAGTCCTCAGTGGTTTTTATTGGGATTTACCAGGCATATGGCAGGCAGGGGTGCTGGGAGGCTGGCAGTCCTCCCAGCCCCCAGCAAATCCTCACTCTCTCTGGGCTCTCTGGCCTTCTCTCTGCTTCTCTGCTCTTGGCTTCCTTTCGGCTTCTGCTGGTGTTCCTGTGACGCCGTCCTTAAAAGCCCAGTCTCAGCCCAGGTGAATCCCATTTACCTATGCCCACAACCTACTCCAGGTGCCCGCCATCAGGCATGCATTCAGGACCGCAAGGATCCATCATCTATCCTGAGGGCGGGAAGGCAAAAAAGCCTGACATTTTCTTTACCCTACACCTGCCCTTACAGTCCTATAGTGAGCTCTGGAGAGAAATAGCACCACACCATGTTGTCATTGCTAGGACAAGGGGCCGAGCCTTTTGGACCTCTGTGTTGCTGACTGTAGTCTCCCACTTAGAGTCAAGTATAACTTCTCAGGCATTTCTGAACTGCTGCTGCTGTTAATGGTTACAGCTGTGAGCTGTTAGCTACCAATGTTAGTAGCCAGGGATGGGTGCTGCTGCACTTGCTTGTCAAGGGGGACCTGGGTGGACTGCAACAGCATCCTCTATGGGTGCTCTGTTGTGGCAAGTGCTGAAAGGGTGTAGGGTAAGGTAAAAAGTAACAGGATTTTCTGCCCTCCTGCCATTAGGATTGATGATGTATCTGCGATTCTGAATGCATGCCTGATGGTGGGCACCTGGAACAGGGTGTGTGTGTGTGTGTGTGTGTGTGTGTGTTTGTGTGCATGTGTAAGTGGGTACAACTGGGCTAAGAGACTGAGCTTATGAGGGCGGCATCACAGGCATACCAGAAGAACCATGAGAGGAGAGCAGAGAAGCAGAGAGAAAGAGTGAAAGAGAAGCAGAGGTCACAAGAGAAGGCTGGAGAGCCCGGAAAGAGTGAAAACTTGCTGGGGGCCGGGAGGCCTGCCAGCCTCCCGGCCCCCCAACATATCCCTGCCTGCTGTGTACTTGGTAAATCCCAATAAAAGCCTGAAAAGCCACTGGGGGCTCCAGGACTCTCTCTCCTCCTTTACCCCATCTGCTTGGTCCAGAGAGAACCTACACTGTGCCCATTCCTGCCATTACAAAGGGTAAGTATGTAGCACTAGCAAGGCACAGAGCAGGTTTTCTAAGATCTGGGCAGACAGATCATAGGTAAAGGAAGAGTCCTGGAGCCTCGGTGGCTTTTTCAGGCTTTTAATCTTTCTACGCCACTTGTATTGAGGCGACCAGGTGCAGGGCAGGCAGGGAGGCCTGGGGGCTGGCATGCCTCCCAGGCCCCAGCAAGTCTTCACTCTTTCTGGGCTTGCTGGCTTCTGTCATGGTCTCTCCACTGGTCTCTACTGCACTCTGCTACTGCGTCCTCTACTGCTGCACCGTTGTGACGCTGCCCTTATATACTCAGCCTCCAGGCTCGGGGGTGCCCATTCTCGCACGCCTACCCCACACTCCAGGTGCCTCTCTCAGGCATGCGTGTAAGACCACAGGTGTGGATCATTGATGCTAATGGTGGGAGGGTGGAGAAAACCGAATCACTTCCATTTACCCAACAGTAGGCTTCTCCACCTGCTCTGGCCTCCAGAAACAAGGTGCATCTCCATATCTTAAGACTCCCGGGCACTCCAATTTCTGGCCAGACCAACAGCTTCTAAATATACATAGACTTGCTATTATACAACGGTCTTCTGAATAAGGGCTTCTTTGCTTATCTGAAGACTTACAAATGTGCTGAGATGAAAACAAAGAGCTGCTTGCTTGGCTCCCTGTGATTCTTCTCTAGCTTCACGGAAAAGTTCAGAGAGGCCTTGAAATGTCAGCCCCCACTGTTCCTTGTCCATTTCTGAATATGGAGCTATCGTTTATCAATGAAACAAATGCCTGCATTAACAGAAAAGTCTATAGTCCGTTTTGATTGGAAACAGCAATTATTTTATCTCTGCAAAGATTGAAAACAACTAGAAGAGACAAGTTTGGTTTTGGTGAGTAAAACAGCATGTATAATGGTGCAGAGAAGTGATTATGGTAAGCATAAGAAACTTGCAGATTGTTTAGTTTTGGTGTGAACTCAAACTGTGGAGGGAGACAGGAATCACGTGAAATGAGCTGCAGAATTAGGCAGGTGAGGGGTCATACGTTTAATGGTCTAATACATGATGCTGAGGAGTTTAGACCTTTTCCTGGAAACCTGTCATAAACTTCACATCAGTGTTTAAGTAAGATGATTCTCTGTCTTCCCTGTGGAGTGTGGACTTGTAGGGTAAGTAAAGTATCAGGCTTTTCTGCCCTCCTGCCACTAGAGTAAATGTGTGCCTCATGGCAGGCACCTGGAGTAGGGTTTGGGCATACACCTGGGCTAAGACTGGGCTTATAAAGGTGGACTCAATGGGGATACCAGCAGACTGAAAGAGAGAAGCAGAGGCCACGAGAGAACACTGGAGAGCTCAGAAAGAGTGAAGATTTGCTGGAGGCTAGGATGTCTGCCAGCCTGATGGCCTGCCCAGCACCCCTGCCTGCCGTGTACCTGGTAAATCCCAATAGAAGCCTGCAAAAGCCACTGAGCGCTTCTAGAACTTCTCCTTCCCCCATCTGCTCCAGTATAGGAACCTGCACTGTGCCCATCCTGCCCCTACAGGACTTGAGAAGGGCAGCACTGGGGCAGGGACATCCATTATGTTGTCTTCAAAAATTTGAAAAATGGTGCTGTTTTTAAAGGACTTTTATGACAATAGTGATAAAGAGAATGTACGTTTATATGACACTTAAAAAGGAAAAAGGACAGGCACAGATAATGGGTAGAATATAAAGAAGCTGAAGGAAGTATTCAGGTTTTAGGTTTGCTTACTATCATTTTACTGACTCTTTTTTCCTTATTCTTGTTATTTTACACTCAATGAAACAAAAATGGTATTATGCTCTACAGGTTATTTTGCAGTCTATCACATTGTGAACCTCTTTTATTATAATAACCATGGTATAAACAAGTAAGTATCAATTTAAATAACTGTTCAGTGTTTCATTGTACAGATGTGGAATAATTTAATCTCTTATTTACATATAGATTGCTTATCATCTTTAAAGATTGCAAATCATGTTGTTACAAGTATCTTTAAATTCAAACATTTATTCATCTTCTCAATTATTATTTTAGGATATTTCTTATAAAGGAATTACTGAATTAAGACTTCTAGCAAATCTTGCAAATTTTTATCAGACGGGTTATGTCACAAGACATTCACAGAGTCACCAATCCGCTGAAGTGTCTTGGAAATTCTGTTTTGCCAAAGAAGGTTTTTCAGGATAAGGTAAGTTCTACTGGTATAAATTTATTGTTTTGATGGCTACTTTTATTTTCATCTAATTTCTATATAGATATTCATGGCACCTAGGGATGTTTTAATGGTTCTGATGAGGAATGCTGCCATTTTAAATCTTGTATATAGTAATTTGTGTTCTTCTTGAAAATAATCTCAGTAATTTAAAAATTATTTGAATAGTATATGTTATTCAATAGATAATTATTAAATTTGGTTATTCACTTATTCAGTAACCCAATGAATATTTATTGAAAACTCAAACTTGGTACAGGTGGTTGGGCACAGTGCTGTGCAGCTGTCTGCAGCCTCTGCAGTGTGGGTTCGATCCCAGCCTGCTGGGGAGAGACCCACATGGCGCAGGAGACCTCTCCTGTCTCACCCGCTGCTCCCCTCAGCAGTGTATTTCATCAGTCTGTCTGTTCTGTTCCCCGCTCTGTCTCTGGTGAATCCTCTCACCCTCCCGCACATCTGGCCTGTACCCTGGTTCTTGTATGTATAAATAAATAAATCTTTAAAAAAAAAGAAAAAAGAAAACTCAAACTTGTTCTACATGATGTGAGTAAAATACCTTTCATCACTTATAGTTTGGATTTATCCAGTCATCATAATGATAATGATGATGATGATAACAGGACCTGACATTTACATGGTGCTCATAGGTCAAGCAACATCCTTTGAATAACACTATGAAACAATTAGTTTCATTATGCGTATGAAGCAGACTAAAAGAAAATAAGATACTTCGATGAAATGTGTGTGTACAACTGCTGTTAGTCATAGGGTGCAGAAGGAGTGCATTGGAGGAGTTCCCAGTCTGCTTTGCAAGAGTGGGTCTTAGATGAGGTTTTCTGGAGGAGTCTAATTGAGACATCAAGGCTGAAGAAAAGACAATATACAGTCGCAGAGCTTTTATTATTTTAACAAAACACTTGAGGGAACTCATGTTTGGTTTTTAAAGTAGTGTCTGTCTTGAGGAAATATCCAGTGGTTTAGGGTAGGCAAAATGATTCTTGAGACTCCTTTCTGAGAGTATATTCATTATTTCTATTCCCATTTTGCATTAAATCACTTGACTTCTGCATCCTGACCCTATCGTTCTTCTAATGGAGTGTAAGTCAAGGTTACCAAAGGCTTTTTAATTGAAAATTTAATGTTATTTTTTTAGCTATGTTATTTGACATCTATTAGAATTTGACCCCACTTACTAGTCCCTCCCATTTGAAAGCCTCTACAAACTATAGTATCATCTAAACCAGAAATCTGGACACCATCCTGTAATACTTACTTTCCTTCATTTATCTATAAATTCTTGTCCCTTTACCTTGCATAAATACCTTTCTCATTGGACAAATGTTTGAGTCCTTTTCAGTGTTATTTTTAAATTGATCTCAATTGTCTATCACAAGTTTCAGTCTTTCTTACCAATAGGGATTAAAATTAAGACTTATGCAAGATTTAGGGCAAATCACACAATTAATATACTTTTATATTTCCTTGAAACATTTCACTCTAGTTCCACCTGGATTCTGATGAATCAGATTAACCACTTATTCAGTTCTCATTAATTCCTCCGATGTTGATTCATCTTGCTGATTCCACTGGCTTATAGGAACACTTGAGTTGGGGTCTGTTCTCTAGTACACCAACACTATTTAAATTCAGGATGGATACTCATATTCATTTATAAATTTTAGCTAACCATAGTACCTACTTAATAAGATTGTATTGAAGATTAAATGAGCTAATACAAATTAAATATCTAATTTAATGTCAAGCATTATATAGTGCTTCAAGACTATTAGGTATTATTATTGTTGTTTTAATTATAATCATTACTACCGTATGTATCTGGGGACGCCGTTCTGAACCTGGGTCTTCATGATTTTCATAATTAAGTTCTGACTCTGGTGCACTATATAGTACCTGGTGATGAAATTAAAAAAATAAAACAATGAAAAAAAGGGAAGAAAAATTCCATAAATTTAAAAAAAGAAGGCAGAAGATCACTTTTTCCTAAAGCAGAGAAAAGCCAAATATATAAATCATCACAAACAGTACTATTAACATGCTTGTAATTAACAGGGTGGTCCTGCTTTGGGCCAACCCTGTTTGGCTGGGCGCTTACCCACAAGGGGATGGGTAACTTCGAGTGTCTGATTTAGAAACCGTATTCCTTGTCTTGTCTTTGTTGTACACTAACTGTAAAGTTCCTTTCCATTAAAGATTTTACACCCTAGAGTATGTTTTGTCTTGATGCAGAAGATGGTCTAAACTGTTTAGAGTGGGCAGGTTTGTGGGTCCTGGGTTGCCCTCTCTTCCTGCCCTGTAACAGTGGCTTTAAAAAATGGAAATTTCTTTTTCTGTTGTTAATATTTCTTGTGGAGTTTTATTTATATACTCATCAGGACTATTGGTTTGTAATTTTCTGTTGTTGTGTGTTCTATTGTTGTGGCATCCTTGCCTAGTTTTGGTATTACAATGATGCTGGTTTGAATAAGTGTGTATTCCTTACTCCTAATTTTTGGAAAGCTTGAGAAGGATTGGTATTAATTCCTCTTTGAAAATTGAGTAGAATTTGCCAGTGAACCTTTGTGTTCCTGGACTTTGGTTTGTTGGAAGAGTTTTGATTATTGAGTCAATCTCTTTAGTAGTAATTGTTTTGTTCAGATTTTCTATTTCCTCATGATACTGTCTTGGTAGGTTGTATATTTCTAGGAGTTTATCCATTTCTTCTAGGTTATTCATTTTGATGATATATAATTATCCATGGTTCTCTTTTGATCCTTTGTATTTTGTGGTATCAGTTGTAATATCTCCTCTTTTGTGTCTGATGTTTAATCTCTTTCATGTCTGATTTTTAAAATTCTGTTTTTCTTCCCTTTTTCTTGGTGAGTAAAGCCAAACTTTTTGTCAATTTGGCTTATCTTTTTAGGAAGCAGTTCTTGGTTTCATTGATCTTTTCATTTCTATTTTTAGTCTCTGTTTCATTTATTTCTGCTCTAATCTTTGTTGTTTCCTTCCTTTACTAACATTGCTTATTCTACCCTTTCTGCTTCCTTAAGGTGTATAGTTACATTGATTATTTGAGGTCTTTGGTGTTCCTTCATGTAGGCATTTATCACTGTGACTGGTCCAATTAGAACTCCTTTCATTGCATCCCATAATTTTTGATGTTGTATTACCACTTTCATTTGTCTCTAAGTATTTTTGGATTTCTCTTATGATTTAATTGTATCCATTAGTTGTCATTATAATGTTATTTAATTCCACATGTTTGTGAGTTTTTCAGTTTTTTCCTTGTAATTTATTTTTGGTATCAACTGTTGGGAAAAGATGTTTGATATGATTGAAAGCTCTTAAATTTATTAAGACTTACTTTTTGGCCTAACATATGATTTTGGAGAAATTTCTATGTGCATTTGAGAAGAATGTATATTCTGCTTCTTTGGGATAGAATATTTTGTGTACATCTGTTTAACATGTTGTTTAAGGTCATGATTTCTTATTTCTGTCTATCTGATTTCACCGTTAATGAACGTAGGGGATTTTAATATGTATATAAATATCACCTTTTAGAGTTGTCCCTTTTATTGTTATGCAATATCCTTCTTTGTCTCTTATTACAATGTTTGTTTTCATTTATTTATTTATTTTTTAAAAGACTTATTTATTTGTTTGTTTGTTTATTTATGTAAGCACTGGGTACAGTCAGAAGCCCGAGGGTGAGAGAATTCACCAGAGCCAGAGCGGGGAGCAGAGCAGGCAGAAGGACCAAAGTACACTGCTGAGGGGAGCAGCGGGCAGCAGGAGAGGTCTGTGCGCCACATGGGACCCTCCTCCGGTGGCCGGGGAGCAGCCAGGGAGCAGCTGGGGAGCAGCCGGGGAGCAAACCCGCACCTCAGAGGCTGCGGGCAGCTTTGCAACCCAGTGCTCAACCTCTGCGCCACTGGGGAAGCCCTATGATATTTGTTTTTAAAGTCTGTTTATTTGATGTAACTAAAAGTGTGATGATCTAGAAGCTTGACTCTTAGTTCCTAGATAAACAAATGGGCCTCTTTTGTAGAAAAACTGGGTAAACTTCAAACTACTTTCTATACAGGACTCTGGGGAAGATAATCTGACAAACTGTTCAATTATTACAATTCCTTGGGACCCAGGAATGCAAGCCCCCTTGGCTGCCAGAGCCATGTTCTCTCTGTGGCAGACAGAAAAAAAATGGTACCAAATATAAAAACCAAGGTGCCAGACTTGTGTAAAAGCTCCCCTCTAGAAGATACTGGTATTCTAGAGCAGCAGAGGGAGAAACTAAAGAACTAGTTTATACATTTTTATCAGAGGAAATTGTTGCTTATGTTGTTATAGGTTCAGTCTGTCCATGAAGGGAGTTGAGTTTAGGATTTTTCCTGTTGACATTTTGAACTGGAACCTGGAGGCACATCTTACTGGATGGAGTTCTTGATCTATTTGTGTGTGTGTGTGCATGTGTGATGATGAAGCTTCAAGGGAATGATTTAAAGACAAAGATTACATTCAGATTGTTTGGAAAAAATGTCTCTGAATATTTTCTATTTTCTTTTTTACATTTACCCTAGAGTAATAATTATTTAGATCAGAGGAAATGTCGGCCACTCTGACTGGTGTCCCACATAGAGAAGCTTTTGCTTCTGTTGTGAAACTGAAAGGTCTTTAGAGCAATCAGTTCTGCCATGACAATCAATGAAGAAAGGCTTCAGGACTAGTTCATTGTGATTTTCTAGTCAGGGACACTAGGGAGGTATTGTATCAGTATTTTAAAGGAAACTAGTTGACATGAAGCCTAAGAAAATGAATATTTCAAAAGAGAAAGGGAACTCATGAAACACCAACTGGACTGTAATCTTTATTTTTTTCATGCATTGTACTACGATCACAAACATTATACACAATGTGCTAAATCCACTTTGAAGATTAGCGAAACTCCTGATATATTTTAAAATAAACTGGCCTGA